CCTGTGCTGTGCTGAGGGTCAGAGGTGGAATACGGAACCCTGGCCTGGCTCGGCTAAGCCCAGTGCCAGCTCCCAGCCCCCTCTTTCTCCTCCTCCCGCCCTTTCTGGGTTATTCTTAGCAGGAGGTGACCTCAGAATGCTCCTTCTAAGCAAAAATAACCCTGGAGGAAGTTGGTGGGTATAAATCTTCAATGAATAAATTCATACAGCTAGTAAACAGGGTATAGAGCCCTGCAGGGCAGGTCACCCCCCAGGCCTAGTGGTCAAGTACAGAAACTGTCCCAGATGGAACCACCCACCTAGGACAAATGCCTTCAAAGGGCTGTCTGGGCTTGTGATCAGGCAGGAACCAGCCTCAGACAGCCTCACTGTCGGTCTGCAACGTCCTCAGGAGCTGATGACAGGAGGATGCCCGTTTTCCCCTGTCCTGACACACACAGCCTTGGCCCCACACGTCAGGCCCCTCCTCCCCGCCATGAGCACTGGCCAGCCCACAGGCCCTGGCCCAGGTGCCCGCTCTCTCCCTAAGCCCCGCCCAGCCCTGTAGCTGGCTTCCCGTTTCCTGTTGCCGGCAGCATCCTGGCTCCAGCCAGAGCCACAGGCCACCAGGCCACTCACTGCCTGGCTTTAAGCGGGGCTGCCTTGTAGTCCTCGGATCACCGCAGCCTTCCCCAATGACACTTGGTCAGTTGCCTTCCTGGCTTTTATACTTTCTTTATCTGCTTTTTGCACTATTCTATATACTTTCTCCAACAGTCCTGCATTCACACATTAACTGAAGAAAGAGCCTTTTGGTACCCAGTACAAATGGCTGCAGAGGTGAGGAGGAAAGAATACCACAGGCTGTGCAGATGGGAGTGTGAAATCCAAGTTCTGAATCCTCCTGAGCTCAGGCTGCTGGTCCGCATGTAGGATTGATAACAATCCATGTCTTCACCTGCACACTTGTGTCTTCAGCACCAAGAAAGGTAGTCATTGGAAAGGCCTTGTTGTAAAGGGTAATCGAGTGCTACCCAACTCTAAGCATTTATTCATGGCCTCTGTCCTCATGGGCAGCGGACAAATACAGTGTAGCTTCCCTCGGTGACCATGCCTGGGGGTGGCACCACAGGTCAAGACTAGGAAACAAGCTCTCCCCACCTTCTTTGCAAACTACCTGGGGTAAAAGCCAAGTTTTCAGTTCTGGATTTTCAAAATTCCCTATGCAATGAGAAATGACAGTTTTGTGAAACATAAAATTAGGCCTCGGTAGCTAGGCACGGTGGTGTACACCTATAATCCTAGCACTTGGGCAGCTGAGGCACGAGGATCGCTGCAAGTAAGAGGCCATCCTGGACTGTATAGGAGTTCAAGGTCAGCCTGAGCCACACAGCAAGACCCTGTCTCAGAAAAACAAAAATCAGATGTATGGATGTGGCAGTAATATCAAATTTATAAAAAAAAAAAACAGGGCCAGGGATTTAGCTCAGCGGTTTGGAGGGCTGCCTTGCAAGTGCAAGGACATGAGTTCAATCCCCAGTACCAAAAAAAAAAAAAAA